CAAAAGGTCGGCAGTTCGAATCCACCAGCCGCTCCTTGGAAACCCTATGGGGCAGTTCTGCTCTGTTCTCTAGGGTTGCTATGAGTCAGAATTGACTTGACAGCAGTAGGTTTAATTTTTTTGGTTTTGACCCAGATGCATGGCTGAATTACATGACCAAAAGCCATCTTGTCTCAGTTGATCAGAGCTTCTATGGAATTTTATTTGTTATACTCTTTCTGAATTTGTTAGCCACTTTCTGAATTAAGGGAGTGAGGACCTTTTCTCCAAGACGAACATGGGGTTGCTCTTGACTTATAAACTGAAAGAATATTAGAAAGGTTAAGACTTAGGCTTACCGTTGGGTTTAAATCGCAGGGAACTTGAGCAAGGATGTGGGATTCTCTGGAGCAGATATTGTAAAGTTCATGATTTTAGGTAGCATGTGTATCTGTTTGTAACTCTGATAGTAGCAAAAGTTGAGAGGAGCTGAGACTTGTTGTGGCCCCTCCCTGTAAGAACAGAGTCCTCCAGGACCTGCCTGCTTTCTCTCAACTGTTGCCCCCCACCTCCCCCATCCCCGCCGAGGGATTCCTGAGGCTCGCTTAACCTACCTATACAGTGGTTTTTAAGCTGCTGTTCTGGCCACTGCATTCAAATTCCAATGTATACTTCATACTGTAAAAATTTATATTATTTTTTTTGTATATTGCTGTATCTACTTTAACTTCCAGGAATAAAAATTATATAGGAACTGTCTGAGAGCGTGGCACCTGTGTCTGTGGCTGGTGGTGGTGGCCTTCAGTGGAGCCACACGAGCAGGTGGTTGTCTGAGTTGGTGAGCCTGTCCTCCCTGGAGTTGATGCTGGCCCAGCTCTGGGCACTGCGCCCCTCCCCCATCTTATGTTAGCCATCAGCCTCCAGGTAAGGCGAACCTGAGGAAGAGAGGGGTTATACTCCACAGACAGAAAGGTGTCAGAGCCAAGGCCTCCCTGCACCCTCCTCCTGCTGTGGCCTCTGCAAACTGCTGTGTCCTGTTTGGGGTCAGATAAGCTATTCCCACCCCATCTCCCAGAAACCCCCCCACCCCCACAGTTGGCTCCATTATCACTTTCTCTTCAGTTCACTCAGTGGGGACAACATGTAAACACTTCACTGGCTGGTGTGCGGGGCCCCTGGCAGCCGGTGGTGATAATTCAGGGAGACACTCACCACACACCAACATCAGAGCCCACTGCTTGCTCCCCACCCCCTGCACTCGTGAGTACCATGGAGATGAGCGAGCGGGTGCAGGAGATAGGAGCCTTCCCCTGCAGAGATGGAGCAGGAGATTAGTGGTTGGCGGCCGCCTGCTTTCTCTCCCACCCGCCCCCGCCAGCCTGCTTGGGGCCCTGCATCTTTGGGCAGGCTGCAAGCTCCCGCCCCTCTTCCCCTGGCTTTGAGCTCCAAAGAAACCTCAACAGGTACTTGCTCCCCCACCCCCTCCCAAGGGAGCACATGCTGCCGAGTCGGAGGCCCCAGCCCCAGGCTCTGGACTGGCTGCAGCTTGGCGACCAGCAGGCCTGAGCCTGGAGAGCTGGGCCTCTGTCCACCCCCAGCCTCCTCCACCGTTTGCAGTCAGTCTTAAGGGGGATGGTGCCACCTGCTGGTCTCTGGGAAGAGGTGAAGGGCCGGTGGGACTGTTGGCTGCAGCCCCTGGCCCTGAGCGGGATGAAATCTTGGTACTGGCCCTCAGCTGCCAAATTCAAAATCCTTCACAGCTATGGCTGATAAGGAGAGGCCTGGACCACAGTCTTCCCTCCCTGCATGCTCCCCACACTAGTTTCTGCCCCCCTTTTCCAAGAACTCGAGTCTCCTGCTTTCTTGGGAGTATACCCCCACAACCTAGTTCTTTAGGAGCCCTGGTGGTGCAGTGGTTAAGAGCGGCAGTGAGCTACAGCTGCTAACCAAAAGGTCGGCAGTTTGAATCCACCAGCCGTTCCTTGGAAACCCTACAGGGCAGTTCTGCTCTGTCCTGTAGGGTCGCTATGAGTCAGAATCAACTCGACGGCAATGGGTTTTTTTTTTTTTTTAACCTAGTTCTTTAGCCTTCCAAGAGGCACTGACAGTATTCAGGGGTGGCCAGCACCCTTAAACCACAGAAAAGGGGGCAGAGTTGTTGCTTCAGGCTAAAGTTATACCAGCCACATAGGCGGAAAGAACAAAATGACTCCAGTCCAGGGGTCCCCAACAGCCCAGGAGACCACCACCAGCTCGCCAGCCCAGGAACCATACCATCAAATTTATGACAAAAAATATTTTATTCAAAAATACTGTTATACTTTACACAAATGTATGGTTTATGTACAAAGTATAAAATCACTCTTCTAGTTAGTCCCACCTTCCTCTAGAGATCAGCGATGTTTAAACCTGGGACTGCCATTCTGCAGCACTCAGCTACCCCTGGTTGTCATAGTGCCACCGAGGGAGGCGTATGTGTGGTTGGGAGCAAGGCCGTCTCAGACTATGGTCAGTTATGCAAGGGTGATGAGGCCTATTCCAGATTCCACCTCCCCACAGAGTCAGATCAGCTTTTATGCTGCTCTCCAGATTCCACGGGCACACACAAAATGGCTGATTGGCTGCTTGGGTCTTGCTGCAGCAATTTTTCCCCAGGAGAGGGGTCAACTCTGCAAGTCCCAGGCCCTGTTCACCCACCATGTCCTAGACCAGCCCTTTCCCCTCTCCCACCTCTCCTGTAAGCCAGGTTGCAAAAAGGGAGGCAAGGATATAAGGCTGGGTGGATAGAGACATCGGGCAAGTGGGCAGTAGCATCACAGATTCAAGACCCAAGCCCCCAGCTTGAGGCCAAGAAACCACATACTCGGTGCAGCTGACAACCATGACTCAAACCAACTCTACTGTGTTAAGGCGGTCCCTGGGTGGTACTAACGGTTACTGCAGTCAGCTGTTAACCAAAAGGTTAGAGGTTCGAGTTCACCCAGAGTCACCTCGGAGCAAAGACCTGGCAACCTACTGCCGAAAAATCAGCCATTGAAAACCCTATGGAGCACAGTTCTACTCTGATACACATAGGGTCACCAAGAGTCAGAATTGACCTGGCAACTAGTTTTTGCTGTGTTAAGGGCATGACTATGGCTTAGACAATCAATCGCGGGAAGAGGACATCATGTTTGACAAAGTAGAGGGCCAGTGAGGGCATGGAGACCCTCAGTGAGATGGACTGGCACGACAGCCGCAATGAAGCCGTTGAACATGCTGGCGACACGAGGAGGACACAGGACCAGGCAGTGTTTTGTTCTGTTGTGCGTAAGGTCATCACGAGTCATGAGCTGACTCAAAGGCAGCTAACATGGCTTTGACAAACTCTTGGAGAGTTTGCAAAAAAGTCTGGAGTCCACATTCATTAGATAAAGCATAAAATATTACCCCAAAATAAACCTCAGCCTCTCTCCTGAGGGAAAGGATCAATAGACCAACACATATGCATGAGAACAGATGTGCGTATGTATATGCATGTACATACATTGGGAGACTACACACCTGTATATACACGTTGGGAGGGTGCATGTATGTATATGCATGTAAACATTGGGAGTGTGCACACGTGTATGTGCACGCACACACACACACACATATTGGGACGGCAAAGCTTCTTCCTCATGAATAACACTTTAGCTTAAAGACATTACCAGTCTCCCTTCCCCTTCTTGGATAATTTCATCCAAACAGCTGCTGAGCAGATAAAGGACATGGGAGGAATTGGTTTGCCTGCATTGAGTACCTGCAATGACGGAAGCTCAGTCTCTTCTACAACAGAGACAGACCCAGCGGGCTCTTGAATGCTTTGATCCAAAAGAAAAAGGCTGCTGCAGCTGCAGCCACAAACGCACAGCTGTGAAGGAGAGGCAGGCACACCTCATGCACAAACATGCACACGCATGGGTATACATGCTGCCTGCAAAGGCATTGGTATGCGTAGAAATGCTAAAATCACAATATGAACCCTTCACGGTGACTACTGTTTCCAAAGAGAAGTGTGGGATGCAGATATTCATGACAGCGAGCCTCTGGCAGAGGTGAAGAAGCCGTCTGGGGGAGGAAGGGGTGGGCCCAGACTGTCCATTGGGCGACGTAAGAGTTCCTCCACGTGCCTCGCGACATCCATGGTCTCGTCTAGGTCGATCTCTCCATCCTGGTCCAGGACAGGGTCAGAGCTGGCAAAGAGAGAGGGGCTGTTAGAGGGAGCTGGCATGTCTCCCAGCCCCAAGCCCTCTCCCCACTCAACCCAGAGTCTGGTGGGAACAGAACCGTTTTGGCTGGACTGCCCCCCTAGGCTGGGTGACAGTCACTGGCTCACTGGGAGACACCCCAGTTCTAGTCTCATCTCTTGCTGCTGCATTGAGTGACCTTAGGGAATTCCTTTCCCTCTCCTTGTCCTCATCTGTAAAAAGAGGTGGTTGGGCCAGTGAGCTCTGGCCACCTTGCGGCTATGCAGTTAAATCATAGGCCCCATTCAGTGAGAGGCCCCGTGGCACCAATGGTTACGCACTCAACTGCTAGCCGAAAGGCTGGCAGTTCGAACCCACCCAGGGGTGCCTCAGAAGACAGGCCTGGCGATCCGCTGCTGAAAAATCAGCCATTGAAAACCCTATGGAGCAGTTCTACTCTGCACACTTGGGGTCACCATGAGTCAGAATCGATTCAACGGCAATTTACAACATTCAGTGAGCACTTACAATGGCTAAGCCTTTCAACCACATTCCTCTACTCTTCACAGCCGCCTGTGAGATAGGTATTTACCCCATTTTACAGAGGAGGAAACTGAGCTCAACCATGTTAGGAAACTTGGTCAGAGCTGCCCGGCTGGTAGGTTGTGAAGTCAGGATTGGAATCCCAGTCTATGACTCCCAGGCCTGAGGTCATCCCACTGCAGCTTGCTGCCTCCCAGACCAATCTCCACCCAGCCCAGTCCACTCACTCCACCCAGAGGAGACTTAACTCTCTACCCTGGGAACTCCAGAGAGAGGAGCAACTGGTATCCCATGCCTACCCTACTCCTAATAACAACCAAACCAGTTGCCATCAAGTCAACTCTGACTCATGGCATCCCCATGTGTGTCAGAGTAGAACTGTGCTCCACAGGGTTTTCAATGGCTGATTTTTCAGAAGATCATCAGGCCTTTCAGTTAGCAGCTGAATGAGTTAACTTTTTGCAACATCCCCATTAATAGCTAGTATATGTCAAGCCTTTAGACACTCACTCTTGCTAAGTGCTTTTCCTGCACTGTCTCATTTAACCCTCACCCCAACCCCATGAGCAAGGTCTTCTTGCCTCCATTGTACAGATGAGGAAATTGAACATCATCAGAGAGGTTCAATAATTTTTCCAGGGTCACACAGGTAGTCAGTATCAGAGCCAGGACTTGGGTCCTGCTATTATCTAGCTTCAAAAGCAATGCTCCATGCTTTTGCTGGCTGAATCTCACCCGCCCTGCACCTGGGCACATGAAGCACTCAGGCCTAGGTGAGCTCCAGGTTCCTTTGCCCACCGGCTGTCTGGGGTCCAGTCTGAGGCCAAGTCCCCGGTTCCTCCCCTGTAGACCCGCACGAGAACACCACCTACTTCTGTGGGTACATGTTATAGGGAGCCTGGGCGCACACGGCTGGGGACGGGGCCTGCTCCATGTACGTGGCGCTGCCCCCAACAGAGTCCACAGACGCATTCACAAACCTGCGGAAGGAAGCCGAGCAGCCTCAGTAGCTGGGGGAACCTGGGTAGGAGCTGGCGTGGGGAGGGTGTAGGACAAAGTGCCCCACTCGGCCCTGGGTAATGGCCACATCACAACTGAGCCCAGTTCCCTCCCCAAGGCTGAGATGGGGGCGTGGGTGGGAGGGGCAGCGGGACAACCGTGTCCATGTCAGGTGAGGAGAGCCAGGGGAGGAGAAAGAGGCAGAGGAGACCAGACCCAGACCCTGGACACTTACTCAGGGACCACTTGCTTGATCTGTGGCTTCACGTATCCGTCAACGGCTTTAGCTGCCAAGGGGAGAGCTGTAATGAGGACCAGTCTCTGGGAGCTTCCACGTGGGGTGGAAGCCACTCCCTACCCCACAAGCAGTCTTCAGTCCATCCGTCCCCCCACCCAACACACCCACCGCCTGGGGCCTCTGCAGGAATGAGATTTCCCAAGGATCCCAATCAACACCTGCTGATGGACCCAGCCTGAGGATCACTAAGACCCTTGGCTTCACCCCCAACCTTTCCTGGCCATTTGCTTCCTCTCTCCCTGCCCCCACCCGTGCCAAGGCAACAAAATCAACGACAGAAGCAAATTCAACCAATGGATGGGGGACAGGTCGAAGAGATAAAACCTGACAATTTTGCTTCCTACACTCAACTTGGGGGAAGGTCTGAGGGTGGAGAGTGGTGAAAGCAGCTGATTAAAATGGGAGTAGCACTTTCCCTGTGGGTCTGAAGGATCTCAGCTCCTCCCCCCAGTGCCACAGCCCCTTCCTCCAGGGCGCAGGAGCGAGAATCCACTCTCCGCTTTGCAGAGAAGAAAGGAGGGCTGCAGGTGTCTCCTTCCCTCTCCTCAGCTGTGAGCCCTGAAAGCCTCTCCACTTGCATTCCGCCCTCCCACAGAGCAAAACCACAGGGTAAATAGCCCCTCTGCTGTGTGGTCTGGGGAGGGGCTGGGGGCAGACTGGGGGCCTTGGGCAGCAGGGCCCTGGGGGCAAGGCATACCTAGCACGGGAGTGTAGTACTTGGAGAAGACCTCATCCTTGGGGCGGTCAGGGAACACGTAGATGAGATAGTTTAGGTCCCCCAGGCGGTCGGCCAGGGACCGGATGGAAAAATCCCGTGTAGTGAACGGCTTCAGGTTCCACAGGTTGCGGTCAGCTGTGGAAAAGACAACCTCATTCCCACAGCCCATGGCCATCAGGAGGAGGACCAGCGATGTGGGGTTTTAAGGCAGGCTTGCAAGGAAGCCTAGGTTTCTGCAGGTCACTAGCCTGTACTGCCACCCCAGCCCTTGCGGTCCTCAGAATAGGGCAGAAAGCAGCCGCAGGAACATTCTGCGGGGTTCGTAGATACCAGCAAGGCTGGGTCATGGCTCAAAAGGGAGAGTGTGAAACTGTTGATGGACCCACACAGCAGTTCTAGGGGCTGTGGGGTCCGCGGTTTTAGGTTCTCCAAAGTGGAAACAGAGAGAAAGAGAATGCATTTCTGAGCAACGCTCCTCCCACACGCTGAGCTCAGGTCCCGCCATCCCAGCTGTTGCCTTCTAAGGGCACAGGACTCCTGCGGGGGGGGGGGGGGGCAAGCAAATGGAAGACGGGACTACTGGGGCCTGAGTGTGGGTAAAGCAGGGACACTCACGAGAGTCAAACTTCCAGGCAATCGTGATGCCCCCGATTTCCGAGTCGCTAAAGCGCAACAAGAAGGTCCCATCGGGCTTGTGGATGAGCAGGTCATGGGCCTGTTGCTTATTCACAAACCCTAGGATAGCCCTGGGTGCACAGAGCATACAGGGTCATTGCTGGGCCCATAGCCACTGTCCCCTGCAGCCGTGGCCAGCCTCCCAGCCCCCGTGCCCCCATGTCTCACCCGTCATTCCAATGAGGCTTATGATGCTTCTTCAGCACCTCCATTACCCCGTCGAACCACTGCCAGAAGGTGTAGTTCCAGCCCGGCAAGTTCTCCTGACAGCCCCCCAGGAGACCCCAAGTCAGGTGGTCCAGAAGCCAGCCTGTGTCCTCTTGTCCCCACTCCTGCCTGCCCCCAATTCTTCACCCCTACTTGCCCCCACATTCCAGCAGATCGTCCATGAACTGACAACCCCCAGCCCATATGTCAGTGAACCAGAGAGTAAACTCTCCTCCTGCTTCTAAGGCACAGGGGCCCAAGACAATCCCATGCAGGGAGGGAAGCATCCTTATTGTTAGTTGCCGTTGAGTTGAATTCTCGTGGCAGCCCATGTTGGCAGAGTAGAACTGCTCCACAGGGTTTTCAAGGCTGTGACCTTTCAGAAGTAGATTCGCCAGGCCTTTCTTCCAAGGTGCCTCTGGGTGGGTTTGAACCACCAACCATAACCATTTGTACCACCCAAGGACTCCACTGCAGAAGGTGGGGGACTGTGCTAGGTGCAAAGAATCATCAAGGTTGGACGGGACCTCCAAAGTCATTTGTGCCCAACCCCACCATTTCATGGATGGGGCAACTGAGGCATAGGGAAGGAGACGGACATGGCAAATTAGTTAACAGATCTAGGGCTAGAGCCCAGGGATCCTGACTCCCAGCCGCGTGTTCCTTCCTCCTTCCTCCCTTGGCTCTCCCACTGAGCACGCATCCTCAAGACCCCTGCCTGCATTCCTCGGGGTATGAGCCTGTCTCTCCTGGTTGTAGGAGAGGCTTGTTGGGGGTGGAGGTAAGGCGCTGGCCCTCGGCAGTACTCTGTCTGTGAGGTGGGGAAGGTAGCAGGACACTGGTGGTCCCAAGCAGGCAGCTGGCAGCTGTGGTCCTCACCCTGTTGAACTGGGACCAGGACACAGACATGTTGCTATAGTCCTCCAGGTGGTTGCTGCTGCTGTTGAACAGTTTCTGCGCCAGGAACACAAGGTTCTCCTTGGTCAGGCCCCGGTTGCTCTGCACTTCTGCCTTGAACTTCATGTTGAGTGCTTCACACAGCTGCGGCCAGAGCACTTTGTCCGGCACAGCAAATGGCACCCTGCCCTGAGAGGAAAAAGAAAGGGGGAAAAGGCAGATTGAGAGAATTGGAAACAGTTCTCTCTCTCACACACACCCACAGATACCAAGACACAGAGGGACAGAAAAAGCACCAGCAAAGGAGATACAGACACAAGGCAACAGAAATGCAGGGGATGGGGGCAAGAGGGGTGACATACAGGGATAGAGACCCAGACCAGGGGACTGAGGACAGAGATCAGGAACCACAAACCAAAGGAAGATCAGAGAACAGGGACCATACACCAAGCTCACAGACCTAAGAGATCCCAATCCAGAAAACCTGGAGCCCAGGCAGATACCCTAGGATGTCCCTGAGGGCAGGGGCACCCACTATCAGCTGCCCTTCCCACCTCACCTCAGCTCTGGACTGGTCCTGGGGTGGTGAAGGATCACTCAGCAGGGGACTAAAGGGTGGGGGCTGACCCTGAGGAGAAGCCTGGGAGGCTAAGGCAGGGGTCCCGTGGGGACTCACCGGCTCAGCAAAGGCGTTGTCCCACAACACAGTGGCAGTGGCATTGTGATCCTGACTTCCATGAACAATGACAACCACGGGAAGGGACAGGGTCTGTGGGAGTCCAAGAAATGAGAGTGGAGGGGGTGTGGCCACCATCTTGCCCTCCGCTTGGGACAAGACTGAACTCTCATGCCTCACCCACCATCCCACCTACAAGCCTCCTGCCAAGAAATAACACAAAACCAACAAAAAAATACAACATATTTCTCATTGGCCCATTGCCTAAGTTTTGTGAGCTAGTGCAAGTTTTAACCTAGCAACCAGGTACCAATAACCAGCTGCCATCAAGTTGACTCAAACTCATGGCAACCCCATATGTGTCAGAGTAGAACTGTGCTCCACAGGGTTTTCAATGGCTGACTTTTCAGAAGTAAATCAACAGGCCTTTCTTCTGAGGTGCCTCTGGGTGGACTCCAACTTCCAACCTTTTGGTTAGCAGCCAAACACACTGTCTGCGCCACCCAGGGACCCCCAGCAGCCAGGAACCAGCAGTTAAAGTAGGTTCTCTGCTGGCATCATGGAAAACTGGTCTGAGACCCATATAAGGATTCAGAACTCTCCAGCTCTCTGTGTTTCCCAATCCAGCCATGTGGCCTCAGGCAGACCCCTTCACTTGTTCGGGCCACTGAGAAGCTTCCAGCAAAGAGGAGGGCAGGGGCCTCACCTTCACCTGGAACACAAGCTCATTGCTGCCAACGCTAAACTGAGACTCAAACAGCACCGTGAATTTCTCCTCTGTCACGGACTCTGCGCCCCGCCGGTCCGCACGCTTGATCCTCTTTAGCGACTGTAGGGTGAGAGGTCAGAGGGGACAGGGAGATGGTGGCTGGGTATGAGGATGCAGCTCCAAGGGGACCTTCCCTCCTGGGCCCGGGGCCTGCCCTTACCATGTTCCTGAAGTGGGCGCTGAGGGTGCCTGTGGCTTGGTGGTATTCCATCACACAGCAGTTGTTCAAGATCTCCCCACTGCACTCGCTGCAAAGAAGAGGGGTGCCCCAGCTCACACGGACCCGGGGTAGGAGGTAGGAGCATGGTCCTGCCTGGAACTTGGTCTGGGGTCTTCACTCCAGAAAGCCCTGCCAGCAGCCCCTGCCCCCGTTCTCCAGGAGTGCGCCTAGGTGCTAATGGGCTTACGGACTTCTCCACCAACCTGCGAGTGCCCAAAGGCTTTCAGGAGTGAGGTCTTGGCCTCATCATTAGGTTAGAAATTCCTTGGGCCTTGAGATGAACGTGGAGGACTTCAGGGGGTCCCAGGAGTTTTTAGGGTACTTAAAATAAAAACCATGACCATGGCCTACAAGGTCCTTTGTGATCTAGCCCCTGCCCACCTCCCTGGCCTCACTGGGTATTTCTCCCCTAACTCAGGACACACAAGCCACGCCAGCCTTGTCTGTTTGTTGAACGTGCCGAGCTTGGTTCCTACCTCAGGACTGTGGCACATGCTTTTCCTGTCACCCTGAACACTCTTTCCTTCCCCTCATCCAGTTCTCAGCTCAAATATCTCCTCAGAATGGCCTTCCTCGACTACCTGGGTTGCTCAGTCCCCAACCCTGCACACACCCAGATGCTATGACATTACCCTGTTTTCATTTTCTTTCCAGAATCTATCACTTTTGAAACCATCTTATTTTTTAAATGTACTGTTGTCAGTGTCCCCAGGTAAAATACAAGAAGTTCTAAGAGAGAGGACCACCACCTGTCTGCCAGTTTGTTGTACTGTGGTGGTTTGTATGTTGCTGTGATGCTGGAAGCCATGCCACTGGTATTTCAAACACCAGCAGGGTCACCCATGGTGGACAGGTTTCAGCAGAGCTTCCAGACTAAGACAGACTAGGAAGAAAGGCCTGGTACTCTACTTTCAAAAATCAGCTAATGAAAACCATATGGACCACAACAGAATATTATCCGATGATAATTCTCCCTAGTTTGGCTTTACGGACTCAAACATACCAAAGATCATGAAGACGGTACAGAACTGGGCAACTAACAACTAGAAGAGATTGAGAATCTCACTTGCTGCCTTCATTATTCTATTCCCAGATCACATGGCAGGCACTCAGTATTAACATTTCTAAATTGGATGATGAAGGATGGGGACTAAGTCTCCCACTTTACTTATTCATTCATTCATTCACTGCACACTTCATGGGCGGCCTGCTCTGAGCCCAATGTCTGGGTTCTCTATCCACACATGCCTTTCTAGAAGCTCCTCCATGGCACATGCCAGTCTCTGCTTAAAAAGTCTTCCATCCCCACCCCTTTCAGTAGCAGCCTGAGAATAAACTGTCATTTCTTCACCACCACCACCATCTACTTCCAGGCTGCCCTAGACATCTCCCTTGTCACACAGCCACACCTATAACCACTTGTCCAAGGTCTGCTGCCTTCCCTGCTAGCCAATAAGTTGGGCAAGGACAGACTAAGTTCTGTCCGGATCCAGCTGTATCCCCAAAGCTTAGTACAGGCACTACACAGCGGAGCTATACTTGTGGACATACTATGAGCCAGGCAAAGGCACTAGAACACCGTGGCAGAGCAATATGTGTTGAGCTACTATGTGCCAGCCTCAGAGCAGGAGGAGCATAGTGTATAGCAGGACAGGGAGACTGAACGACGGAGACAACCGGGCATGTCCGGAATTCCAGGATAAAAGGCTGCAGGAGGGAGCCATGTTGTCCCCATCACACAGGCCCCCAGCTGTAGAACACAATCAAGGCACCTAGACCTCAGCTTGGGGAGGGGCAGGCAAGGGAGGGAGCAGCACAATTACTTGCGGGTGTTCTCGCTTTTGAGCAGAGACTTGGCCTGCTGCTCGCTGATGATGGTCGCCTTCACCTGAGGGGGGTTCATGTGCACGTTCAGCTTCCCGCCCACCAGCAGGCGCACCGTGGCTGCAAACTTGGTCTGGGTCTTCAGGACCTGAGGGGGCTGCTTCTCAATGATGAATGTACTGCAGGGGACACAAGGCACCACACAGATGACGAGAGGCTGGCTCAGGGGAAAGGGCTCTAGGGCCCGCTGCCTGGGTGGTGGCCTTGCACAGGGCCCAGCAGGTGAAGGACAAGCATGGGGCACAGCCTCTGATCCCAGGGAGGCTACAGGGAGTCGGGAGGATGGCAGGAGGGGAGGGACTAAAATGAACTTCTCAGCAGCTGGCATGACTGCAAGGGGGCAAGGGCAGCCCATGTAGTGTCCCCAACAGAAATTGGGCAAGGGCAGCGCTAAGCAGCCATAGCAACCGGAGACAGAGGAGGACAGTGGTGAGAGGCAGAGAGAGACAAGGATTCACGTGAGAGCTCCTGTCTGGGAAAGCACCCGCGGCCGGCTCAGGCCAACCACTGTGGGGACTGTCCTGCCCCTCTGGCCATGGTCAAAGGGCAGCAGTCACCTGGTCACCAGGGCTGATATGATGTCTGTGATGGTGGCATTGACCTCAGCCAGCATCTTCTCCACGGGGCCCGGGATGGGTAGCTGCTGGCACAGGTGCTCAGCTCTGCGGATCTGCTGCCGGTTCTGCCAGATGATCTCAGCCAGCTTCTCACACCTGTGCAGGAGCCCCAAGGCCCCCGGGAAAGACAGTGACTTCACACCCCACCCCACCAGCCCAGGAGAACCCCCAAGACACAGCCCCAGCCCCACCCAGCAGGGCCTCACCCAGCACCTACCCCTTGGCACAGAGCACAGCTGCCTTCAGAATACAGAGAAATACACAGCAGGAGGAACCCTGGTTTGTCCAACCAGCCCCAGGGTCACTCTGTACCCTCCCAGCCCTGCCCCGTTCCCCAACAGAATGACCCCCTGGTGGAGGTGCCCAGGGTGGGCACAAAACTGTCCCAGGAACCAGACCCACTGGTGAAATAACAGCTGTTACAACACAGGGCAGCCAGCTGTACATCTGCTCAGGGGCAGATGAGCCCGGGACCAGCGCCCTGAGCCCTGCCCCCTGCTCCCCTGCCACAGTACCAGGACTGCAGCACGTCCAGGCTGCCCTCGGGGGGCCCTCCATTCCCAGCCAGCTGCTGTCGCCGCTTCCACTGGATCAGCTCGTCGTCCAGGATGATGGTCTGCTGCTTCCGCAGCAGCTGCAGGGTCTTCTGGTGCTTCTCGGCCAGCTCCTGGGGGCAGAGGGGAGAGCAGGCCCTCTGGATTCCCGAGAACAACCCTGCAGGGCCTTACTGAGAAGTACAGGGGCCTGACCAGCCCCTCACAGGTCTGCCCTCTCCTGGACCTGCTCTGCCTCACTCACCCACGGGAACCTGGCTGCCCGCTCTCCTGGGTCCTGCTCTCCTCCTGGCTCTGTCCAGGCCTCTGGTCCCCAGAGAGCTCAGGGTGGGACCCCTGCTGCTGGGGGGAGGATGCAGGGCCCCACTCACCACGCGGTACTGCTGTAGCGTCTGGGCCTCGCACTGCAGCCAGGTCTCCAGTGACACCTGCTTCTGCTGGAGGGCCGTCTCCCGGCTCAGCCGCTCCTGGGGGTTCAGCTGGGCCAGCTGGGCAAACTGAGCTAGAGGAGGAGACAGGACACCCACAGCCATGTCCTCCCAGCTTCCAGCAGGAAGCCCAGGGCAGCCTCACTCCCCTCAGGCAAGACGCTCAAGGGGACAGACACCCCATCAATGGCAAGTCGGGGTTTCCAAATACGAATGGGCTCTCTCAGAAGGCTCCTGCCTCTGAGCTTCCCCTCTGGGGAATGGGGGGATAGATGTTCAGGAGTGTAGCTAAAGATTCCTGTGACATGGTTCTCAGAGTCCCTGGTCCTCCTCTCCTGACCTCCCCACAGGGATGGCTGCCTCGCCTCCCTCACATGGGGTCTGGCTTCGAGCCAGACTGCTTGAGTGCCCTCGCTGTTTACCAGCTGGAAGAACTTGGGCAAATCACTTTACTTTCCCAGGCCTCAGTTTCCCCACCTGTAAAAGGGGAGAATAATAGCACCTGCCTCAGGGGTTGCTGTGAGGACTGGACAAGCAATGACATGGAAAATGCTCAAGGAACTGCCTGGCACACAGTTAGCACTACCTAAGTGCCAAGCACACAGTAAGCGCTACCTAAGAGTTAGTCCTGGCTGGCTAATGGGCTACAGGTCGGGGCTTAGTGGGTGACAGACGAGTGCACTGCTCAGCCCTGTCCCTCACACCCAGATCCTCATCGGGGAAGAGAGTTTCTCTAGGTGTGGAAGGCATCTAACATGCTTGAACAGGTGAGCACAGCTGACCTGCCACAGGGAGCCTGGCCCACCAACCGAGAGAGAGAGCGTCCAGGGCCCACTGGGGACACGCAACCAGCAAGATTCTCTCAGGAAAGTGTGGTGGAGGGAGACAGCTTCTCTCCACACTTGCCGTTGTCAATCACATCAACGGCAGGGTATGGATTAAGTAAGCGCTTATTACCTTTTCCAAAAAACCTAGCATGAAACACTTAAGACATACGGAAGGGAGAAACACTAATACAAGGAACACCTGTGCATCAATAACGCAGCTTAAGAAATCAAACATTTCCACAGTTAAAGCCATCCGTACACCATCCCCTGCTTGTGAACCCATCCCTTCCTCCCAAAGATAACACTTTCCTAAATGCTGGGATTACTCTTCCCTTCCAACAACCTTTTTGAAAATGTCAGCATGTTTACTCAGGCTGCGTCAAGAAGGTGCGCGATCCGCA